GGGTCAGAATTTTCTCCAGAGTTTTTGAATATTGGAACCACAGATGCCATTTTCCAACAAGCAGGAAAACAAGACTCAGTCAAACACTTGTTAAATAGTTTAGAGAGAATTGAAGAAAATTCTGGAGAACAATTCTGCAAGACTGTGACAGGAATGTTGTCTGGACCATAAGCTGTAGACGAGTTTAATTGAGATATGACTTTAGCAACAGAAGCCGGAGTGATTTGAATGTCTAACAATGGGTCAACCTGTTTGACTGGAATGGAAGGAAGAGAATGTCCATAAGATTCAAGAGTGGAGTTAGAAGAAAAGTTCTTTGCAAACAGTTCTGCCTTATCCTTGGGAGAGGTAATAAGATCAGTCCCATGAATGAGAGTTGGAATGTTAGATCTACCCTTGTTAATAATGCTGTTGAAGATTTTCCAAAAGTCTTTAGAGCCTAACTTCTGCGATAAGATGTGAGATTTAGTGAACTGAGAATAATGAAGTTTAGCATCAGAAAGCACCTTTTTACATCGATTTCTTGCAATAATAAATAGCCGTTTGTTCTCAAGAGAGTTGTTCTTTTGAAAAAGATGAAAAAAATGATTACGATTGGATATAGCAGCCGCACAAGAAGGAGAAAACCATGGAGTAGAATGAGGCTTGACTTGAAACCGGCGAGAAGGAATAAAAGCTTCCATTCTTGCCTGAATCCAGGAGGTTACATAGGAGGCGCATTTATCAGCTAAGAGAGAAAAAACATCAGCCCAAGGACCATCACGAAGAAAATCACGAAAGGAATCCCAGTCAGCTTTAGGGTAGTAGTAGGTGGTACAATGATAAGGTGAGCCCAAAAAAGAAGTACGAGAAGAAAAATTTATAGAGATCATTGCATGGTCAGAACCACCTAAGGGAGAAAAGAGAGAAACTGAACATAAGCTAGGGTCAGAGACAAGACATAAGTCAAGGAGTGAAGGTAAATGATTAGGGTTGTCAGGAAAACGAGTCACAAAGTTAACTATCTGAGTAAGAGATTGAGAAACGCAGAAGTTAAAGGCTTTAGTGCCAGCAGGATCAGTAATGTTAGAGCCAAGCCATTTAGTGTGATGGGCATTAAAATCACCAACAACAACAATATTGACAGAGGGGTAAAGAGATAGGGCTTGGTCAATTTGATCAGAGATAACATATTTATATATATATATATATATATATATATATATATATATATATATATATATATATATATATATATATATATATATATATATATATATATATGTATATATATGTATATATATATATATATATATATATATATATATATATATATATATATATATATATGTATATATATATATATATATATATATATATATATATATATATATATATACACACATATATACACACATATATAAATAGGCATATATATATATATATATATATATATATATATATATATATATATATATATATATATATCTATATATATATATATATATATATATATATATATATATATATATATATATATATATGTATATATATGCATATATTTTCCATAATAAAGTTGTATTTTTTTTCATTTAAATTATTTTAATATATATATATATATATATATATATATATATATATATATATATATATATATATATATATATATATATATAAATTTCATATATATACACATATATGTAAATAAATATATATATAACACTTTCTGCCAATTTTAACTTTTTTTTTTAGGCTACTTTTTTTTTTTTAATTATTCACCTCCCCAAGGCCCGAGGGGGCCACTACAGTCGAGGAGGCTACTTTTTTTTTTTTTGTCTCCGTTTGTTGTAAATCGTGGTACAACCCTCTCTCAACTCTTTAACTCCAAACACGAACCTTGACAAGCAAGGCCGCTGCTCGGAGAAATTAAGTTGAGCGCGGTACTTCCAGGGATGTGGTGGGAGTCAACTCCGAACCTCTCGCTTACAAAGAGAGCGCTCTTACCACTGCACTATTACCGCAGGTTACTGGTTTAATTTGTAGATGAAATATTTACCAACTAAATTTATAATATACCAAAATATCGCAGGTTAAAATATAATGAATATATATATATACATAATTAATTTTAAATGTTTTAATAATAAGTTAGTAGAAATTACTTATCTAACCAGGGCCTATTCTAGGAAAAAAATTTGGTTGGCGGTTTAGGTTTATTTTCATGCCTTCATTTTTAAATTAATTCATATTTCTTGTTGAATTAACATTATTGTTTCGCATATGTAGTTATTTCAATTTTTTTTATAAGCATAGTATGCACTTTTTGGAAAATATTATTATATGTAGGTACTGTTCTTTAAGGATGGACCAATTAAATATATAAAACATCAATGTTTTTATCTTTCAATTCCTATATGTATTTTGACAGCATGATGTCATTTGAATCCTTTTTAATTTTATTTGATTGTTTATGGTTGGCAAAGTGTTTTTTCTATTCTCCCTCTGTTTAGCCAATATATTGTTTACATTCTTAGAAGAAACAACACATTTATATACCACGTTTTTTGATAAACATTTTCCACTAGTTGGACAATTACAAATTTCTGTTGTTTTTTCATTTAGGATTTTTTTGTTTTTTTGTTTTGCAAAGCATTATTATGACTTTTTATAGTTTTATATTTTTCTTGTACATTTGTAGCTAACTTTATTTGTATTTTGATTAAAACTTTTGTTTATTGAACAATTTTAAAAACACTTTTCCTATATTAGTGGCAGAGTTGTTAGTCCTTAGTCTTGGCCTTTACCTGGCATTAAGGCCAAAAATTAAGACCTTGACCTTGAAACTTTTGGTTTTGGCCTAGGTCTTGGCTTTGAAGTTTTTGGCCTTGACCTTGATTGTTTTGGACTTGGCCTTCATAATAAATTGCTTAAAATTAAATAAATCAAAATTTTTATTCATTATTTTACATAATTAATAACGCAATTAATCATTATTATTTTAAGTAATCACTTACAATTAATGTAAGGCAAAAATTTAAGTCTTTAGCCTTGAAAATGTTTGCGTGGCGTTGATCTTGAAACTCTTATCCTTGGCCATGGTCTTGGCCTTGGCCTTGTAACATATGACCTTGGTCTTGGTCTTGGTCTTGCTTCTTTTGGCCTTGTTAAGAACTCTGGTTAGTGGAAACATTTTTGCTATATGGGAGGAGGGGGGTGGTGGTTGAAACAAATTACATTTCTAGTTCTGTTTCGCTTTTTAATATTCTTTTTTTCAGGGTCAAGTTTTAGTTTAAAATTTTGGAATCCACTTTATTTAAATGCATCTTAAAAAATTCATTTAGAGGAATTGAATACATTTTCATCAGAGGAGTTTTAAATAGGCCTGTTATTAATTAAAAACACTTTTTGTTTTAGAGTTTAGGGTGGATGATTTGATTTAATATTAATATAAAATAACTCATCATTTGGTTCTTTAAAAGGCCATTATGAATTTTCAAAGAGGTTAAATGTGTCATCAAGAAAATTAACAATTTTTAAATTTATGCTTTAATTTGAAAGCCAATATTTTTAAAACTTTTTTCTCATATCTTTTCTAATTTGACCGAGGTGTGGACGAAATTTTTTAAGCATTATTATTAAGCCATCATCACAATAAAGCCCTAAATTATTAATAATAATTATTTTACTTAATAAATCTAAAATATATAGTCCAAAAATTTACAAATTTCCGCTCCATCATAACTGCCCATTGTTACATCAAAGCAGTCATGTTTATTTTTCTTTTTCTAAGTTTCTTTATTAAGATAAATAAAGTTAGGTTTTTCTGTAATGTTTATAATACGAGTTGTCTCGAATAACTGTGAAGATTTTTGCCAAATCAATTATTTTAAGATATCTGTAATTATTGAAGGGTAAAAATCATTAATGTCAGATTGAACAAATGTACATTTTCGATAATGGAGAACCAATTTATAACATGAGTGGTATTTATCCGCTGTTGTAAATTTAATTTTTTTCTAAGAATGTTATTAATTTTGTCTAATGCAATTTTGCCTACATGTTGAATCTCACTTTTTGAGGGAACCAATAATCTACAAGTAAGATTATTTTAAAAATTTGGTTTATGATCTTTAAGGGTTACAAAAACTTGGGAAAATTCTATTCTATTTACAAGATTAATGTTTTTATTAGTACTTTAGGCTTCAAAATTAGATGCATTTTCCAAATTTTTAGGGGCTTTCTTATAAGGATCAGCAATACTGTTGCATAAAATGTTTTCATAGTTTTCTGTTGTGAGTTGGTATTTGTTGTTATGTTATTTGTTTTATCAGCGAAAGCCAAAGTATTAGGGTTAGATTTAATTTTTTTAACTTTAGTTTTTTTGAAATTTATTTTGTATAGGTTGAAACTTTATTGTTTTAATTAAGTTTAGTAGTTCATTTACAGACATATATATACACACACACACACACACAGGTTGGCAGATAGGTCGGCGTTCAGCAATGCTTATCGACTTATCAACTTGTGTCAAATTTTATTTTGCTGACCTCAGCAATTTATTTCCGAACTCATTTTTCCTAATTCAGATGAAACACAGTGTAAAATAAAAAAAATTGATAAGTGATTTTCTACTATTTTAGTATATATATATATATATATATATTATATATATATATATATATATATATATATATATATATATATATATATATATATATATATATATATATATATATATATATATATATATATATATATATATATATATATATATATATATATATGTATATGTGTGTATTTATAAACATAAAGTTAAATTCAATCCAAGGTGAAATATTTCATTTATAGGTTTTGTCAAGATTTAGGCAGTCCTGGCCATAACCCCGCCCTGGCTATGATTTATCAAACCCAGCCCCAGTCAAATATCAGCCCTGGTTGCTTACTAAAATCTACCTATTAAGTCTAAAAAATATAAGATATTTACGATACAATATAGTAAAGTTATATATTGTCTTTTTTAGAACATTTAGGATTAGCATTGGCTCTTAATGTACCAGTGTTTGTGGTTGTCACTAAAATAGACATGTGTCCAACTAATATCCTTCAAGAAACAATGAAATTACTTATGCGAATACTGAAATCTCCAGGGTGTCGCAAAATTCCTGTTATAGTATCTAGTCAAGATGACGTTGTTGTTTCTGCAACTAATTTTACTTCAGAAAGGTTGCTCTTAAATTATTCAGAAAAGTTTTCACTTATTTGCTGTGCTATATCTACTTTAAGAAAATGCTAAAAAATTTTAATCTTGAGATATTCAAACCTTTAAGGACTTTCTTTTCATTTTATTTATTACTTTTTTTTTTAATTAGCTATTAAATTTTTTTGTTTTTTGGTATTTTTCGCTGTGTACAAAATTTGTTTAGAATTTATTTACATATTTATATCTTATAGAATATGTCCCATCTTCCAGATTTCAAATGTAACAGGAGAGAATCTTGACTTGCTAAAATGCTTCTTAAATTTACTATCAATTCGACGAGATTATGCTCAAGACAAGCCACCTATTTTTCAAATTGATGACACTTACTCTGTCCCAGTGAGCTAGTTTTTGTGTGTGTTATTGTATTTTTTTTTTTCTACCGTTTTCTATAGTAAAAAAAAAGATCAACATGAAAACTTAGTAATAAGGTAAACATAAAATATTAAATATATTAGGGTGTTGGAACCGTTGTTTCAGGCACAACGTTACAAGGTATAATTCAAATTAATGATACACTTTTGCTTGGTCCAGATGGTGTTGGTGCATTTCAACCTGTACCTATAAAAAGCATACATAGAAAACGACTTCCTGTTAAAGAAGTAAAAGCAGGACAAACTGCATCATTTTCTCTTAAAAAGGTTATATATTTTTAAAATGAATATTTAATAAGTGGCATTTATGGGAGCAATATAGTAGGTATGTGAAAGTAGAAATATGTATATATATATATATATATATATATATATATATATATATATATATATATATATATATATATATATCATGTTACTGTATTCTAAAAATAGAGTGCTCAATGTTCTTAAAGAACAGAACATTAATAAATAAGTAAAAACACTTAATTTTATTCATAAATATTTATATAGTGTTTTTACTAATTTGTATATATTTTTTTCATTTTTTCTTAAAAATATCAATTTTTTATGTAATAAAACTAAAAATAATAGTTTTGTTTTGAAATGAATATTATTTTTAAAATTTTTATATAATTTCGCTTCATTTGAGTACCAGGTTGACATATTTTTGAAAAACTTTTTTTTCGAAAATATTAGGGATCCATTAAATATTTGAGGGTCTTGAGGGACCCCTTAAAATATTTTTTATTCAAAAAAAATTTAAGTCTTGTGTTTTTGCATTAGATAGAACACATTTAGGGGGTGAGAGCAGATTATTTTCAAAAATGTTGTTTTTTGGGACACCCTAATATATATATATATATATATATATATATATATATATATATATATATATATATATATATATATATATATATATATATATATATATATATATATATATATATAGGAGGTTAGCATTTTTGAACAACAAAAAATTTTGTTTCAATTATTTTCAAAGCAATACAATTGTTTACTTATATGTACTTAGTTACATTTACAATCAATAATACTTTCCAAAAAAACACATATATATTATAAAACTGTTTTAAAAAAGGTGTATCTGTGGCTTTAACAAGGCAGATTAGTTTTGAGGTTAATGCAAACTTTGTATCCACTCTCTAAAGAATGTTTTTAATTATACAGAATAGAAATTTTATTAATTCTTCTGACACAGTTCCGTTGTATCTTTGTCATCAGTAAAAGCGTCTTTATGCCATCTAGTAAAAGGTCAATGCAGTTTATATAAGATGCAGCTGAAGACTGGGATTTTTTTAAAAGTCTTTCAAGGTGGCAGAGTTCTAGGTTCATCGTCAGTTTGAAAACCTTGCATTCCTTATTTGCTGTTACACCAAAGACAAGGGTGTGTTGATGCTGCACTCTTCAATTACAAAAAATATAATAGTTAGTTTCACATCAAAAGCAGAAACCTATTGTAAGTCATTTAGTTTCAAAATGTTCTTTGGTCACAACTTTGATTTTAGTTCCCATAAATTTTCTTTTTAATACTTTTGAGCATTAAAGTTTAGCACCTCATGTATATGTCAATAATTTGCATCCAGGTTTTCAGTTTTTATATTTTAGATATTTTACATAAATTTTTAAATTTTATGTTCAAAATACTAAATCAAGAATAAAAGGTTTGTCCTACTTTGTTCAGTTCCTCTGTTAAAATTACTCTTTTCTTTGTGAGAGTGCAAGTGTGGTGCAATCTTTGTCCAATAACAACCCTGATCCTTCTACATATTTTTATTGTTTCAGGTGATGATACATTTACTCTAACTTTGACTTTTGAGAAATCATACTCAGTATGATTCATCTTCTTTTTTGAGTCTTTCTAATGCTTTTCTACATTAGTACAGATACCAATTAAAAACTTTTCATTGTTTAAAATGAATGATTTTAAACAGAACTTATATATTCTACTCAACACCATTTCTTTATCTTTAAGTTCTGTCACTTTATCTTTTTGTAAAACAAATTTAGCTGATTTATTATCTTTTTGACATTTTATATTATTTGGCATTTTAAAACAATCTGAGTAATTCTAAATAATTTAAAAAATTTTTTTTAACTATTTTATTAAATAAATAAAAAAATCTTCAAAATCAAAAAAATATCATGTATTAATAACTTTTTTAGGGGTATATGGAAGTATACTAAGCAGATATTTGATGTTTGTTCTTTAAATCTGTAATGCCAACCATAATAAATGTATTATTTAATACTTATCTTATCTTTTCAATTTAACATAATTCCTAGAGTCAGATCATTGTAGTTTTTTTTTTTTGTAAAACTTTCATTATTGTCACCAGTATTAGTATTACAAATTTTTATGTTGGCACAATAGACTGCCTTCCTAAACTTTTTTATTTTTAAATCTTAGTTAGAAAAAACTTGCTTCTAACAAGTAATATAAAAACTGTAACTTCAGCTCAACATTTTAAACGTGCAACAAAACAATATTTGATTTTGATATTAAGCAAATAGTATTCTATTATTAAAAACCTTTGTTAATTATAGTTATATAATGTCTTATATATTGACTCAACATCTAAAAATTTCTTTAAAAATATGATAATACCTCACAACTATAAAGTTGTGAGGTATTATCAACCTCACAACTATAAAGTTGTAAAGTATAAAGACTATAAAGCACTATACTGTCAACGATGCAGTGGGAATTAAACTATTACTTCTTTTACTTTTTTTACTTTTCACTTTTTTTACTTTTTACAAACTATTACTTCTTTTACTTTTTTACTAGTTACTTCTTGCTAACCATACTCTACCACAGCTTATTTGCCAAATCCATAAAATCCATAAAATTAAAATAAGTGAAGTATATAAGTACTGTGCCAAATTAATATACATGAGAATATATATATATATACATATATATATATATATATATATATATATATATATATATATATATATATATATATATATATATATATATATATATATATATTCATATATATTAATTACTCGTTTATTGAATTTTGAAATTGATTTTTTTTTTTTTTAATATTTTTTTAAGATTAAAAGACAAGATATACGAAAGGGAATGGTTTTAGTATCACGTGATCTAAAAGCAGTTGCTACTTGGGAATTTGATGCAGATGTGCTCGTTCTTCACCATCCAACAACAATAAGTGCCCGTTATCAAGCTATGGGTGAGTAGAAAAAAAAAAAAAAAGTATTTTAAAGTCAATTAAAATATATATAATTTTTTCAAAGTTTTTGTTTAGTTTAAAGCTTAAATGTTTTTTAATTCATTTGTTTATATATTTTTAAATAAATATAAGTTTCAGTGTTATATATATTTTTTTAAATATTGTTTTAAACATTAGTAAAGCTTTCCAGAAAGTTACAGAATTGCACTCTGTATCATATAGTCACAGCAATCGTTTAAATGCAGTTCATGAATGATTATGCATGGAAGTCATACAAGATTAGAGAATACTCTAATCTATTTCTTAAAACTTATGTTTAAAAGAAACACTGAAACAAAAAAAAAACTTTATAAAAAGATATACTGAAACAAAAAACTGTATAAATAGAAACATTGAAACAACAAATAAACATTGTATAAAATGTTAAAGAAATAAATATGGTTTTAACTTTAAGCTAGCTGAGCAGATTGGTGAGTATTTAAGCAGAAAATTTATTTTTAAGAAATGATTTCAATTGTAACAACTCTCTGTATAGAACATATATGTTTATAGATCATCAATTGTAACAACTCTCTGTATAGAACATATATGTTTATAGATCATCTGTATACTTGTTATATACAAAGAGTTGCCTTATATTGAAAGTTATTAGTTTTATCCCAACATTTTAGCAGTTTCTGCTGTAACAAAAATGGCTCAGATGCTGCAAAAAGCTTATGAAGTTTTTAGTCTCGTTGGTGTTTGGAATGTGATGTCTTTAGCAGTCCTCTCACTTCATATGTGACGTTTTTTTTTTAATTTGGAGAAAGTAAAATTATTTTCCGGAATATTTTTACTTGTTTTTAAAAGTCGTGATTAAAAGTTTGGGGACTGTAATTATTAACATTAGAGTTAATGTTAAAGTGAAATTGCTAAATTCTAATAACTATCTAACATAATAAAATAAAATAACGAATAAAAGAGATTGTCTTTTTAATACCTTGAAAATTTTAGAGGTTTTCATAAAGTTTATATGCCATCTTGCATTTTTAAAGTCCAGAAAGTTTCTTTAGGTTTTGTAGCTTTACCGAGGATTAGAATATTTTTAAGTCTGAAATCGATTTCGATGAACGTAGTGAGTCAAAGCTGTAGTTTAACAAAACGTTGTTGCAACTCCTTCTCCACTCTTCAAACCCAAAACAGAAACAAGGCAGCTGAAGGAGAAATAGTTTGAGCGTAATACAATGAATATCTGATTGTCTACCTCAGTTTATGGTTTTAATCCAAGAAGAATTCATGAAACACACGCGACAGCAACTAGCTGTCTCTAGCTCTGTTACCGAGTTTTTTAAAATATATAGCTTAGTTTGATTTGATATTTTCAAGTGACTTGTTCGGTCAAAGTAAAACCTATAAAGAAATATAAAATGGTATTTTGTAATTATGAGTTTTACAACATTAATTTTTTAATTTTAATATGTATTGATAAGTTATTTTTTAATTATGTTTTATATATATATATATATATATATATATATATATATATATATATATATATATATATATATATATATATATATATATATATATATATATATATATATATATATATATATATATATATATATATAACGCCAAATAATCCATTGAGCAATTAAACAAAAATACGTCGTTTTAAGTTTACATCGAATAATTGGTTGCAGATTTTGAAGCAACTTTAAAATCGCAATTATAAAAATTATGTAGCGATGTTGTACAAATTTAACATCACTACATAATTTTTATTATGTATTTTAATATCATATATATATATATATATATATATATATATATATATATATATATATATATATATATATATATATATATATATATATATATATATATATATATATATATATATATATATATATATATATATATATATATATATATATATATATATATATATATATATAGTTCACTGTGGAAGTTTAAGGCAGACTGCAACCATAGTTTCTATGGACAAAGAACATCTTCGTACAGGAGATAAAGCTGTTTGCCGTTTTCGGTATTTTTTATTATTTTTATTGTTAATTGTAAACTTTTACCTCTTAATTTATTTTTATTGTTTTATTTTTTTTTATGAATTTACATTGTCTAATCCGACGCGTTGATTTTATGTCGTAAATCTTTATACTTTTTAAATTTAGTTTCATTAAGGGGCCAGAGTTTATACAGAAAGGTACAAAAATGATTTTCAGGGAAGGTCGTACAAAAGCCGTCGGAACAATAACAAATTTATACGGAGATATTGAAGGAAAAGCATCACATAACACTCGTATGAGTAAGCAAACTAAAGCTCTTATGCATCATCGAGCTCAAACTGTAAATAGAAGAACTATTTATAACAAACCGAATTTAAACATTGAGAAAAGTGATAGTTGATTGCAAACCATTTTTTCAGACAAACTGTTTTAATTAATGCACTTTTGAAGACTTTGGTAGTGCTTGATATTCCGATAAAATTTTATAATAATTTTTAACATAAATATGGAAAAGTGTGTTACGCGGATTTTTATACTTGTCAATACAAATGCAATGCTTGATTATTTCATGTATCGAGTTTGCAATACACGGTATTTATGGCGTTACATAAAAGGATTTTGCGTGAAAAGATGGCCGAGTGAAACATATTGACTTTAGCGTAACTTTCATAACATCCTTTTTTTTCTCCGTCGTTTTTTGTTTGTTTTTTATCTCTTTATTGACATAGCTTTTTATGTCTCGTGTATAAAGTTAACTTGTTTATAACTTTTAAAAGTGAAATATTTATATATAAAATGTAGCTTCTGTGATAAGAAGTGAAAATAATATTGATTAATAGACGTTGTTGGACTTTCGTTTTTTTACCTCAGCTTTTTAACTTATCATAATTTTCTCTAATTCCATAAAAATTTGAACTTAAAGTTGAATAACTCCGCTTTGTTTTGGAATTACAAATTAATTTTTTTAAATAAATAAACTGGAACTTAAACTTAATCGAACCATGAATCTGGCAACAAGATTATTAATAACGAAAATGTTGTTCTTTTTTAATTTGTAAAAGTTAAGTTTTCGTTCGGAATATGGGACACGTGTTCTTTATTCCGAACGTACATACGAAATCCCAAATAATAGCATTCAATTAGGCATTTCAGTCACGTGACAAATTCCGTAGACAAAATTTTCGAAGTTTTTTATATATAAAATATTTTATATTAAAATTATTTTTATATATAAATTATTTTATATTAAAAAAGAAACAAAATAAGGAAATAAAGGAATTTTAAGATTTCTATAATAAATTCATTACAAATCTTTAAAAAAAGTTAAACTTTTGTAAGGTAAGCTTGAAAAAAGTGACAATAAAGTTGCACTCCTTCATGAGGAAAAAAGAATTACATGCAAAAAATTGTATTATGCAAACAAGAAGTTTAGCATGGTAGCATAGGCGCCTGCAGAAAATTTTCTAAGGGGGGGCAAAACATTTTTTGTTATTGCTTTTTTTCCTGTTATCTATTATGTAAAAATCAAGATATGTAAGATATAAAATTAAGAGAAGAAAAAATTATGTCCGTGGAAAAAAGAAGACAATTTAAACTTGTCAGCACCGTTTTTGTGTATAAAATATTCACATTTTTTTTATTGATCTTTATTAAATGTAAGGAATTAAACAGACATTGGCTCCAAAAAAGATGAAGATGATAACATGTCATTGTAATCTTTTACAGAAAAATTTAGTAACAAACTTTATGGAATGAAGATCTTCAACGTTACAAACAAGAAAATTTTTTTCTATATTTAGAAAATACAGGGTGGGGCAAGTGTTCCCTCTTGCCCTCCTTGCGGGCGCCTATGCATGGTAGTAAATAAACATGAAATTTTTTCTTCTAATAGTTCAAATACTGACACTCCTAACACTAGAGTATTAAGCAAAGAAAATAAAGATTTTAATTTAAGTTGTCTTCTCCATGATCGCAAAATAGTAACATTTCAAAATGGAAGGTATTCTAATGATATAAGAGAAGTTATTATGGAGTTAGTTTCTTTGAATGTCAGCATGAACAAAGTTAATGAAGTTATCACAATTGTTTTAAAAAAACTAGCAAAGGTAGATATAGAGAAGCTTCCCTCAATTGGTACAAAATCTCGATTTATGACTGAGGCATTAGCGCTTGCTCAACTTCAAGTTGCAGAAGAAATGATAAACACTGTAGAAAATAATTCGGGCAATTGTCTTCATAGTGACGGTACCACTAAACATCATAGACATTTTCAAAATTTCCAAGTTACTACCAAAAACGGAAGTACTTTATCTTTTGGATTATGTGAAATGGCTGGCAGTGATGCAGATTGTACTATTAATGCATTAACAAAAATATTAGATGATATATGTGACATTTTAGAAAGTACCAGCAAGGAAAGCGATTTTTCTAACCTTGTATGTTCTTTTAAAACTACCATGTCTGATCTTGGACCAGTTAATCCACTGTTTAATTTAAAGCTTAAAGGTATTAGGAAAAAGTTACTGCCTAAAGTTATAAAGAACTGGGAAGGTTTAAAAAAAAGGCGAGCAAGCAGATTTCATTGAAATGTCTAACTTTTTTTGAAATTGCATTTACTAACTAACTTTGCAACAGAAACTGATAAAACAATTAACTCGTTCGAAAAGTTAGTTTTAAGCAGGGATGGCATTAAAAAACCCGCCCAAAAAAACCGGCCCAACAAAACCCAAAAAAACCCGCCTAAAAAAACCCAATAAAACCCTGGAAAATCTGGGTTTTATTGGGTTTTTTTAAAGATATTTATTGAGTTTATGAACTATTATAACCAACTTTAACATTATAACTAAAATATTATTAACTAAAATAATTATTAACTATTATTATTAACTAAATTTTTATTAACTATTATTATTAACTATTACAACCAACAATAACAGCTATCAGAGCAGGTTTACTATTATTTGAATCATTATTTGGAAATACGTTATTACAATTTTTATTCAAATATTTTTATTGATTGAGATCTTTATTACTTTATGTTATTCACCTCCCAAGTTGAATTTAAATGAGTAGTAGTGACCAGAGAAGCCAACAGTCGAGGAGGCTATCTTGTTGTGGTTACAATCCTCTCTCAACTCTTACTCGGTAGTGGTGTTGTGATAGAGTGCTCGCTTCATAAGTGAGAGGTTCCGAGTTTGATCCTCACTATGTCCCTGGCAGTACCGCGCTTAACTCCTTTCTCCGCGCAGCGGCCTTGTTCGTCAAGGTTCGTGTTTCGGAGTTATAGAGTTGAGAGAGGGTTATAACCACAAATAAATAGCCTCCTTGCCTGTAGTGGCCTTAAACCTTGAAAAGGTGAATTGATAAAAAAAAAAAAAAAACTCTTTAACTCCTAAACACGAATCTTAATAAACAAGGCCGCTGCGCAGAGAAACAAGTTTGTTCATTTGAATTTCAAGTTCAAAGTTTAATTGAAACTTCAGTTACTACCTCTAGCCTTCTTTTTCCCATTTTCTCATTGACATTTTTAATTATATAGAATAATACTTTTAATTTAAAATAAATCAATACATATAGATTAAGCGTGAAATTTTTTTTCTATCAGAGTTTTAAATTATATTTAAAAATCTTTTTCAAAATAATTTGAAAAATTTTTGTTATAAATAATTAATCAACAATATATAAAATATATTTTAAATAAAGTTTAAGTAGAAAATGAAACTAATTTTCAATATCATTAAACAAAAACACACAAAAAATTTTTACAGAGACAAAATAAAAATTAAACCCAAAAAAACCCAAATTTACCTAAAAAAACCCAATAAAACCCAAAAAAAACCCACTGGGCCGGGTTTTTTTAAAAAAACCCGGGTTTTTGCCAAACCTGGTTTTAAGTAGTAGTTATGAAAATATTTTTGCATTCAATACTGCTAAATCAGGTGCCACTAGATTGATAAGAACTGCATGTAAAGCTTTTCAAGTTAGGGGAAGTGATGAAGCTGGTGTTGCTGGGTATTTTAATGCATTTCTTGCTGGTAAAGGACAAAGTAAGTGTATGCTTGCACCCTTTGTTGGTAACCGATTTAATATATTATATTATAATGCTGCAGCTTTATATTTTCATTCAAAAGATATTTTAGAGTTTCTTCAAAATTGGCCAAATCAAAATAATCTTTTACTTGCAATTAAAGAAGATATTAGCAACAAATTATATTTAGCAGAATTGCGGGCTCTTGGAATAGTTGATAAATAATTACTGGTCCACTTTGGCGGATAATTGAATCGCAAAAGAGTATTCTTGATATGAATCCATTTTTGTTAACCCTAAAAATGAAACTTTCAGACTTGTGTAAAAATGCATCATCGATTATGATCTCGAAAACACCTATATTCCACCTATAGTCCAAATGATGTTAATATTCATAAAGACATTTTGTATGATAAATTATTTGAAAAAACTAATGACACTGATTTAAATATTTTAACACAGCAGACAGAAGTGATTTGCCATTCTTTGTTAGTTGTTCTGGAAAGACAACCTAGTGATCTACTTCCTGGAGGTAAATATTGGCATCCTTCTGATAATATAAGTAAGACTGCAGAGAATGTTCCAACAACGAACAAAGCGTCAGAAAGTGACTTTGCAGTATTGGATCTTTTAATTCGTACAAAGCCTAATGCCAAAATACAAACTATACAAGCTTATACTATGTGGTATAAAAACAAAACACTAGACTGGTTGGATAAAAAGACTTTAGATGAACGTGATTCATTGCTAAAAAAAGCTTCTACAAACTTTAGCAAAATGAAAGATAAATACAAACAACGCCATTTAGAATTAAAGTTTGAAATGAGTGAAAGATTGTCTGAAAAGCATAAAGCTAAAAAAGCAGCTGAAGATAAAGCCTTCTTAAAAAAAGCTAAATCGGTTAATGAGTTGTTAAATTTGGGGACAAAGGTGTGGTCGACCTCAAAAGAAGCAGATTATGAATATGTTTTGTTAGTTGACACATTTAAAACCAAAAATGTTTAAACCCCCTCAATTTTAGGGGGTTGCAAATTTTATATTGTTATAATTTTTGAACACTAAGATATTATACTATAAAACTTAAAATTTATCGATGAATATTAGCCTAGTTGAAAATAGTACAAAAAATATTTTATCAACTTGTTGCTCTCACGTTTGGGGCAGACTAGGCAAAAATTTTGGGGCTATTTTGTTTCCAAGCTCCAATTATCGCAATTTTTTGCAAAGCTTCCTTATTTGACATAAGTATAAATATATATATATGTTTGGAGTGTGCTCCATGTCTGGAAGTTAGCTATCTCAAAAACCAAAAAATACTAGCGCCGGCCCTGGTTTATATATATATTATTAGTAAAATTATGTTAGAAATATATTAAATATATTATAAATTATATATATATATATATATATATATATATATATATATATATATATATATATATATATATATATATATATATATATATATATATATATATATATATATATATATATATATATATATATATATATATATATATATATATACAAATCGTTTATATTAATCTATAATATTTATAATATCGTATCCATAATACATGTTTTTTTTATAATCATATGAAATTTTTGAAACAGGCTCGGGTATGCTTAAGCAAAAAGTTAAAAGAGGCTCAAAAATGTGCTTAAACTTAAGCATATTTATAATAAAATATGCTTATTTCAATACTTTTTAAAAATGCGTGCGTTACTAAAGGTTAATGGTTATAAGAAAAATAAAAAGTCGACTTTAGTACAATATAATAAAAAAATATATATACTATATACAAATGTTATC